TTTTACAAAGAAAAAAACACTGCCGCCCTTTGGAGCTAATCAGAGCAACGAAGCAAGTTTTGTGAGAGCTGTCCGTAGGAGGAGTATAGACCTTTCCAGCGGCAGCCTCGAACGAAGCGATTTACAGCGCGTGTCCCTGGTTTTGAGAGTGCACGTCAGTGTTGCCCGACTGCGCTGAGCTGTGGAGTTTCTCGTCAGTGGGCCGTGGCAGCCTGCGTTGGCGCAATTCCGGACGCTGGTGGCGGCTGAATTGCCGCGTTTTCTTTTTTATCTTGTGTTCTGTGTCGAGCATATTTTATAGAGGTCTTTAAGAAAGCAGTGCTCTATTTTTGGAAACAAAAACAAAGAAATGAAAGCTGTTTTGGCGAGTCCGTGCGCGACAGAACAGATGCAACTGGACTGTTTGTTTCAATTTATGTTCATTGTTTTACGGCACCGTACACTCAGCCGTGTCAATCTATAAATGTCAAAATATTTGACCACACAGGATATCGGTACTGCATGGATATTCCCCGCCCACAACATAAAATTCAATGAGTCTCATCACTCGAACAAAAAATACATTGTACGTACCCCACGGTGCCGCGTTATCCGAACAGGATTTGAGAAAGGTCTCAAACAACACAGCATATCCCATATACAGTGTCGACGATCGTCACTTCACGACGATCGGACGGAATCCGGCGTGTTTTGGGGAACATGTAGAAGAGAGCTCCTTTTTTGCACAGCTCCATAGCAAATGAACGAACATGCTTATTCCGTCCCCACACCCCGGACCCGACCCTATCAGCTAGTTTTTACGAAGACCCGGAACACAGCCTGGAAGGCTTTTTTGAGATTATCTCGACGGAAATAATCCTCCAAGCACGTCGAACTGCCTGCGTCGCGGGCTGCTTGACATTCGCTCTCTTCGTTCGTTTCCTGCGAAGGCCGAGCGGGCTACGAGCTCTGGTATTCCCTGGTTCTCACAGTGGAAGATAACATACAAAGGGTAAGCATCCTAAACAGGCGAATAAAATAAAACTTCTAAGAAAAGCCGCCGAACTCCGAATGCAAAATGCAGGTGGGGAGTCACGCTGACTGGGTTTCCACAGCTCAGGCGGGTGCAAGAAATTTCTGGCTGATAGGGGTCGCTCGATTCGCAAAATGGCGGCGGCCAGAGCGCTCTTTTTGCAAAGGTCTATACTCCCACAATATGTTGTCCCGTCCCTCAGCCAAATGTTCCGGTTGTCTCGTTGGTGTCGTAGCTTTGGTAACGCCCTGTAAGCCGCAGAAGGATGAGTCAGCCTAGTTCCAGTAACAGTTCACCTCACGTTTTTGAATATGACCAGAAAATGCTCATGCCACCTAAGGATGAGGGTCGACAAATTTCCCAGCGAACGGTCTCCGACTTTCTTCTTGTGGCCCAGATGATGAGCTGCCTCTTGAGTTTTCTCACTTCATCCCCCTGGTTACTGATGATCCTCGTCTCTGGTGCCCGGCCCTTGCAGCTTGCCTCCACACGTTTGTCGCCCTCGTGGTATTCTCTTTGATTCTCCGAGGAACCATCTTACTGGAACAAGAAAGTAACAGCATACAGTGAATGGACGAAGTGAGACACACCTTATACTCAGGGGCAGATCCAGAACTCCGTTTAGGGAGGGCGGAGGGCGCAGAAAATCTGTAAGGATACTATTCTCCCCTTCTTTCGTGTGCACCGGGGGGTCCCCAGCCATTTCAAATTGCCCTCCGAGAAGGGGGGAAAGGGGAGAGGGGTTGACCTTGTTTGGGGGGGGGCGGCCGCCCCCGTCGCCCCCCCTTGGATCTCCCCTTGGATCCGTCCCTGCTTATACTTCTAAATTAGATAAGTACTGTGGGTCTTACTGCATGACGTGCCAAGCGGAGGTATATAATGTCTGGAGCTTGACGGGGGGAGGAGGGGTCTCGACGCATGCTGGACGACAGGTACCAGATGCTGCCATACCCACAGGGTATCCTGACGAGAGAGAGAAGACAGGTGTGAGTCCAGGAAATTGGCATGTTTGAGCAACACTTCTTTTAGAGGTGCCTTCTGTTAATTCCCTTGAAGGCACATCCATCTGACTAGTTAATTCAGAATTATGTTCAATGTACCCAGTCAACTTGCTTAGCCTGTTTGCAAATATATAACAACTGGTAAATTTACTTTCTATAATGTTGCGTGTTTTTTGTTTTGTTTTTATATCTTATGCTATGATGTCAACTTCTCTATTATGATTTTACAGATTAGCAAATCCCAGGTTCGGTCCTGATCCGCGTCATTTGCCACAATATTTATATTTTTCCAGTAAAGTGGTGCGAAAGTTTCGATACGTGGAGGTTGCGCGTGAACAAGCAATTCATTACGTTCGACCGTTTTACAACTCACGTCCGACGTACATACGATTAAGAAATTAACCGAGTCACATACACTGCGTTGGAGAAAAGACGATCGCGCCATGGCCGGACGCGAAGGACAGCAAAAGCACTTTAAAATGTTTGCACTCACCAGCAACGAGCTTGAAGCGAAATCCCGGAATCTCGAACGGCGAAGTGAGTCCCCGGCTTTTTGGCTTCTTGCCTGAGCAGGCCCATTTAGAACACATTCATAGCGTGATTCGGTAACTCACGTGACATTAAAACGCCAAGCGAGGATCTAACCGAAAGGGAAATGTGCTAGGAAAGAAATTCGCAGAACAGCAACACCGACAACGCCGACAACGCGACCGGCGACGTTTAAAAAGATGGCTTCGGTTTGGGCAATGAACTTTTTAAAGCTAACGGTAACTGCTCGGTTTTTTCTTTCCATATTGGTTTATGATTATTACCTAGCTTATTATGTTTTCTAAAAATATTAACATTAACGCACTCAATTTAGTCAATTGCGATTCTTTTTGACCCTGTTTTTTTTTTTGTTTTTTTTTGTTTTACACCTTCAGTTGTCGCCATCCGGCTTGAAGAGCGCTGTGTATGCGCGATTACCGGAAGTGGCCTTGAGTGGGACCATTGTTTATGGTTTCACTGTGGTTAGAGCAGTCCTTGAGAACGAGACTACGCGTAAGCACGCCGGCGTCAGTTCCGAAACTATGGAGGCGGGGGCACGGACATCTTTACCATCTCAAGAAGATAGTGAAAGGGAGTTTAGTTCAGACTCTTTGCACTCTGTCTCTTGCTTTGACTCTAAAGGGGACAGCGATGATTTTAATATTCAATCCGATTTGAGGCGATGGACGTTGGAAGAGAACATAACGCAAAAGGCCGGAACCTCTCTGCTAAAGCTACTCAAAAAGCACAAGTGCTTTACTGATTTGCCACAAGACTCTAGGAGCTTGCTCAAAACTCCAAGAGCAGCTGCAGTTGAAGCTGATATTAACGTAGTCACCCCAGGAAAATACTGTCACTTTGGGCTGCTGGATGGGTTACGGCAAACACTGCAAGGCTTCGAGGAGCTACCATCTGTAGTCAATCTTCATTTTAATAGAGATGGACTTCCTGTATCAAAAAGTTCAAAGACACAGCTGTGGCCGATACAGTGCAAGTGAGCCAAGTGTGAGCTTCCACCTTTTATTATTGGTATTTATCAAGGAAAAACCAAGCCTAAATGCTCTAATGAATATTTATCACGGTTCGTCAGTGAGCTGAAGACTGTTTTGGCAGACGGCGTAGAAGTAGGTGCAAAGGTTGTGAAAATCTCTGTCAAAGGCTTTGTTTGTGACTCCCAGTGATGTGATTGGCCTAAGCCATTTTGAAGCACCTTTTGGAGCAGCCAAAACAGTGTTTTGGAGCAGTAAAAGTGGCTTTGGAGCAGATATTCTTAGAAAAATATATATATATATATAAAAAAATATTCGTTTTCAGTGCTGGACAAACGAAGGGCACTTTGCGTTGTGTTATGACGGAACTCGCTGCTTGTGTTTTTACTGCTCAGACATCCCCCATATCCTTTTAAATATTTAATTTTTAAATATTTAAAAAGGACCTGAGACGAAATTCCCCAGACGACAAGAGCGCGAAACGCGAGACGGCGGAAAAAACCATGCAAGGTCGGATGGACGATTGATGCAGGGTACTCTGTGTCGGGTGGCCGTTTGCGACACCTAGCTCGAGCATGCTCAATTACGGTTCTCAGTTCAGTTTCGTTTTTGAAAGGTGGCTGAAATTTGTCCTTTGGCGCAGGCTTGGCGCAAATTACCCATATTTTCGCAAAATGTAGCAGGATGTAGCAGGGTTAGCCCCTTGGCGCAGTTTGGCGCAATTTGCACAGCAATCACATCACTGGACTCCCCAGCGAGGGCATTCGTGTTCATGACCAAAGGGCACAGTGGATACAACTCTTGCCCGAAATGCACTGTGGAAGGGAGTCATCTGGGAAGAGTTTGCTTCCCCGAAACAGCAGCCACGTTCGTACTGATCAGTCTTTTCGTGGACAGGAAAATCCTGATCACCACCATGGAGTGTCAGTGTTAACCAAGCTTCCCATAGACTGCGTGGAACATGTACCGGTAGGTTACATGCATTTGGTTTGCCTGGGGGTAATGAAGAAGTTGCTGCAGCAGTGGGTGGGAGGTCGATCAAAAGTGGCACTAGGGCCTGCAGGGCGCAGTGCTTTGTCTGAACGGAGTGAATCTTTGGAGCATTTTATGCCACGGGAGTTTGTCAGAAAACCCAGGGGGCTTGACGAGCTTGACCGTTGGAAGGCGGTGGAATTCAAAACATTCATGTTATACACAGGACCAGTTGCACTAAAGTAAATTGCTGCTGAAGAAGTGTACTGCCACTTTATTGCATTTCACTGTGCAATATCACTGCTCGTGCATAAAATGCTATACTATTTGCAAGATGGATATGCTAAATCTCTTCTGGAGTCTGTGGTCCAAGAGTTTTCCAGGTTGTATGGTGCAGAGCAGGTATCGCACAATGTCCACTGTCTTTTGCATCTTGCTGACAATGCTCTGTGCCATGGACCGTTGGATTCGTTTAGTGCGTTCTCGTTTGAAAACAACATGAAACAAATTAAGAAAATGCTTCGCAAACATGAGGACCCCCTGCTCCAGCTGTGGAATAGGAAAGAAGAAAACAAACAACCGACAAGCAAGTCTCCTGTGAGGGTGCTCCCACCATATCAATTTGGCAAATCCCACAGCTCCGGTACAATGTTGCAACAGTGCTGCCCACCACAACATTACATGGTAAAAATGCCCATGTTCACTTTGGCTGTCAACAAGGATGTTGCTTTGTAGGAGATGATGTCGTTCAGATTCTGAACATAGCATTCCTCGAGTCCGGGGAGCCCTGCATTATTGGGCAGAAGTACAAGTTCAAGGAAAACCTTTATGAACTACCGGTTGAATCTTCGCGCTTTGGCATTTGCATTGTCTCTGACATCTTAACGTTGCTGCAAGCTTGGCCCCTGAAGGATGCTAGGAAAGCTGTGAGGCTTCCCTATTGTGGAAGATTTGCAGTATTTCCAATAATTCATGCAATCTAGCTATTGCAACCCAAATGGTCTGGAACAGTGAGAATACATACTGATTTGTCAGCTTCCAATGGTGTTACTTGGTGAAGTCTAAAATTGTAGCCGTTGTCTATTCTAGATGGCTTTTGCAATTGTGAAATTCATCAATAAGCGGCTAGTTGAAGTCGTTCCTTCATCATGGATCAATGGAAGCATGTGTTTCTGGCCCTCTGGAAAGCCTGAAAGAATTAACAAGTTGGTGAGAGCTTCAGCGAAAGCTCAAGAAGATTGGAAGCAGCATGCTGTGGAGATCAAAGAAGTCTTCTGTAAGTTGCAAGTTCAGTTATTGCTTAGAATTAGAACGTGTCTCATTTGCATGCTACTTACTCACAAGCGGTGAATTTGGGCCATTGTGCACAATATAAAGATGGAGATACTGGTGTGGCAATCAAGATGCTATACACCGTTTTGGTTTTTGTATGATATAAAATGTCACTAAAATGAACATTGTTTTTATTTTCAGCTTCTAATGAGCGAGCCAGAAAAAAACTGGAAAAGTCACAGTTTACGTCGGATCTCGCCTCAACTGATGAGGAAGTGCAGAGACGGCCAGTGCAAAGGCCCAGACGGTTCACATCTGATTCGAACTCTGACGGCTCACCACCTAAAGAAAAAAGCAAAAAAAGCAAGCAACCATGCATTGACAGTGCACCAACTCTATCCAGCACTACCAGAGGATTTTCCCTCTTCACTTGCATCAGGTAAGTGTTAACCAACTTAATTCAAGTGTAAGGGACTGCTGAAGGGAGGTAAAATTGAAGTGTGGGAATGAGCAGGTCAAACAAATAATTATGCTAGCACATGTAAGACACTTTTTAATCCATATCTGCATTTCACTAAATTTCAGCCACTGCAGCTTCGGGCATGAGACCGGCCTTGGCACCTCAGCTCATAGCCCAGGTATCTTGTTTTCTAATTAAGAAGCGTAAATGAGTTTATAAACACAGTTTTGAGCCTTTGTTATTTCAGGTGGTGTTTTGACCTTAGAAGCACAAGGCCCATCCACCTCAGGTTCAACAGGTTAATTTATAATTGGAGCATTAGCTAGGAGCTAATTGTGCAGATATTAATTATAACCCATGAGCTATTGTTGCAGACATTATTGTTATATGGTTGTCGCTTGTAACTACCAATAGGGCCTAAAAGTAAAAATTTTCCATTAGGATTCATGTTTTAATTTTAGGGCACATCTCTGAGGCACCCGTTTCTGGGTTGAGCGGCGTCGCCGTCGGCTTAACCGCGCATTGTATTATAGGCTGTTTCCAATAGTGACGTCACACGCGATACCACTTGACCGGGAAAATTTTTCCGCTAATGGGGAAATTTTTCTGCTAAATTTAGCTGGTAATTTTTTTTTTGCTAAATTTAGCGGAAAAATTTTACTCAAAATTTAGCGGGAAAATTTTACCCTCGTGACATCGCACGTGACGTCATGTTTGACATCACGTGAATGAATGTGAAGTCACTGGAAATTTAGCGGAAGATCTTTTCCGCTCAATTTAGTGGGAAAATTTCCCCGCTAAATTTCGCAAGGATATTGACGTCCCGTGACCTCGAAACCAATTCAGTTTCCCCACTAAAATTTGCGGGGAAGTTTTCGCTAGCTTTCCTGCTAAATTTAGCAGGAATATGTCCCCGCTAAATGGGACGTACGGGAGCAGGAGAGGAGGAGGGGCATACCCTCCCCTCCTCCTCCTCAAGAGCTGTGCTCTAAGGCATCAGTTCAGGTTACAAATAGTATAAATGACTTCAGGTGGCTATTCTCGGGCTGCCTTTACTAACACTTCTAAATAAAGTAGTCACTCTTAAAGAGAAGCTGCTATGTAGGGATGACATGAAGGTTTTTATAGGTGCTAATTTTATTGTTGCTTTCAAGAATGTTTCTCTGCACATTGTGTCTAATGCCTGGGTGAAGAACATTCATATTGCAGTGGTCTACACCAAAATAATGCCTCCTAGCATATTTCAGTTGTGCAGAGCAAATTAATTTCACCTTATCCTGTAGAAACTTGAGTTTTATTTTTTTGCAGACATAAAACCTGAAAATTTTCTTGCAGCAAACATGAAGAAGTGTACAAAATCTCCACGAAAAAATGATGGCCTTTCTCAACGAGGTAGGTCTAACTCTAAACTTCAATACTCTTTTTATAACTGGCCAATTCATTTAGTGACATGTCTTGAAAAGCCACCACCCCAACTGTTCTTGTTCTGTTTCAATCTGCTAGTCTTTCAAAAGCAAGTTCTACGACATCTGCAAGTAATGAGGCTCATGCTGGAGCAAAACAGAGAACTTTTGGAAGCCCTGCAAGCTAAAAACATGCGCAGCGAAGCCATAGTCCCCTCACTTCTGCCAGAGCCATTCAATGACGTGCAAGAGTTCACATCGTTTGACGAGACAATTCAGGATGCCACAAGAGATCAGCTGGTAAGAGTCTGCTTAATATGCACTGGTAAAACTTAGGATTATCTGTAAATGGTTTCCAGACGCACTTGTATCTAATTGCAAAAATATTACAGTGATTATCTAAGTTCACATCAAAAAAGGACTAAAGGAGCATTATTCGTTTCTCGATAGGGGTTATGCCAGGTCTGCAAAAGCAGTGAACGCAAGCCTTTAAAATGGGAGTCTGACAAGAGTATATGTATATATAATATCTCACTTCATAAATAAGCATAGTAATTGAATGATTAATGCAGTGACCCAAGGCACTCTGTCATTTCTGTTTGTTGATAACTTATGATTGATATACAATACGAAAGTAAAATAAGTATTGGAGGAAAAGCACATATATAGTTAGCTCAGTGGTATCGGAAGTGTTCAGGGAAGGCTGGGAGGAAGGGGGGGTCAGGATAAGAGATGAGGATTTCCCTTCCCTTCCCACTAAGTGCTCGCTATAAATGTCAGGGACAATCACCTTTCTGTTGCTACACCAAACACCGGTGGGCAGCAAATTGGTTAACTGGATCAATTAATTCATAGTTTCAAAGGTAACAAGCACTGAAATAACCAGGACCAAGATGAAGTCATTCAATACAAAGCACACTTGGAACTGTTATTTATTCAGAAAGAAAATGTATTATACAGGCCCCATCAGCCAGCCAGTCAACAAATCTTTCAGCCGTACTTTCTTATGTTGCCCTGGCAGCAGCCGTCTTACTTCCTACAAGACTGCTTTTTACATACCGTAACCCTTACCTCATTTTTTTCTTATTGGTAGCAGGACCGCTTTCAAGTATTTAGGTCACATGCTTGTTTCTTTTTGTTTTTCAAAGTCTTGGTAAATGCAACTTTTTGTTCTTCACCAAAGTTTTGATAAAAAGAAAACAACCTAAAATACATTATTTAGTTTTAGAAAATTAAACCAGAAATGCGGATTATTAATTATAAATTAGTGACTGAGTTGGTACTGACGTTTGTTGCCGTGTTAAATTGTTTTCAGCCCTCTCATTTTGCATTAAAACTGCATTTTTTATATTACTTTAATTTCAAGATGCTGTAAGATCAAACCCAAAGTTTACTGCAACAGTCGACGACGTGGAAAGGGAGATTAAAAAAGTGGCTACAGCATGCTTCCTGCCGAATCAAGCTCCGACAAAAGAATTTAACATTTTTTATCAATTATGCTTATTTTTTCATTTCCATAAATTATTTTCAACACATTGTAATACTTCAACCAATCCATATTTTACCATTTTTACTATTGCAATGTAAGAAAAGGAGAAAGAGGGGCGGGTACCTCTGTATGATAGTATTCCGTTCTGAAATATCTACACAAACAAGTTTTCTTTTAGTACAGAAATTGGAGCAAGCGCTAGGCAGTAAGTGAAGCAATCTAAGATTTTTGTTTGTGCATGGAAAATGTCTAAATCAGTTTCTGTAAAGCTTTCTCATACGAAATCATAACCCCTTACCACATAAATTGTATTGGTGCCAAAAACTTACGCTGCCTTCACTTTGATACAGAAAATACCCAAACCAGGCTTGTATTTTCTAAAAGAAATCGCTCAGTTGTGACTTTATTACAACTATAGTGTCACTCCTTTTTATTTGCATTAACAAAAACCTATTTTGATCCGAACAAACAAAAAAAAACAGAAGTATCATATCGGATGTCATAAGGAAACATTTTTTGTAATGACAAGTATTTCTGTCCAATAGTTTGTCAGGCTGGTGTACAAAAAAAAATATGACACCCCTTGTGCCTCTGTAGTGCTGGAAGTTGCAGTATTGCACTCCCAGTGAAACACCTTGAAGCAGTTGTGCTTCGTGTTGAAAAGGAGATGTCTATCAGGCGAATACAGGAGGGCAGTTTAGAGTGCAGTCACTTCTCTTGCCAGGTGGGGAAGTGGTCCATCTCGTCTAGGTGCACATCAGTAGGTTGCAGTGGCGCCACTAGGATTCTCCTTTTGCTTGCATAGATGTGCGCATCCATTCAATAGTTTGGTCTCCCTGGAGGCTTCCCGTCGTGCAGCTTCCCTGCTTTGCATAATCCCTCTGCGACATATGATTTGAACTCGAGCAGCAATGTCTTCATTACAGGAGCCACGCATTCAGTGCAGTCAGGTCCATCATGTGGAAACATACGCAGTGGTACCGCTTCTTTGCTCTAGTTTTGATGCAACAGTACCCTAGTATTCAGTCTAGGAGCTCCAGTCCACCTATGTGCGTGTTGCAGATGAGCATTGCATGCGGTGAATGCATGATTATGTGTGGTTTGTCATTCGTAAAGTAACCTATGACTTCTTTTATAGCTGTATATAACAAAGGAACCTAAAAAAAAAGACCGATACCAAAAATCGTTACATCGACAAGCTAATTTTTTAACTCCGAAGCAGGGCGATACGGCGATATATGCCTGCCTAAAAGCGCGTTTCCAAGTCTTGTTGTGCTGAAAACTTTGCAATCAAATTATAAAGAACTACTCTCTGCCAAATTAATTGCTTCTGAAGATGGAGCCACTGGACGTGTGGTTTCTAGGCGTTACAAAAATTTACTCTGACTATGAAAGGTATTTTTGAAAATATGGGTACGCATTGCTAAAAAAGAGGCATGCGTATCATATACGATATACCATTTAGTAAGGGGCTAACATTTTTCTCAACCACTACGAACCCAAAAGGCTTTTCATATGAACCTTTACGTGCCTTATTATTGATTTGAGAAGAGTTTTATTCGTGCAGGGTGCACAGAACTGAGGTCATCTCAAATCGCCAAGCACAAGTTGTCAAGCCCAAGTTATCAAGCCCAAGTCGCCAAGACCAAGTTGCCAAGTTTGTTGCCAAGAAGGCAGCAAGTTTTTTTTCATGTTTTATATTTTATGTGTTATATTTTAAACTTGATATAAACTATAATAAAGAATTCAATGCCTGTAACGCCAGACAGAGGTAGCTCTTTGCGTGAATAAAAGAAAATTAAATTAAGACAATATTTGTGTATTTTGCAAATTGTGTGATGGGAAAACAATCAACAAGTGAAGATGTTTACGTACATCACCCAACCATTTTATACTCATTGCTCACTCTGGAAAAAGTGAGCAGGAAGTATGAGATTGTCCAAAAAGCCAACTATGTTACTGGCTTACACGTTCTTTATATTGGTTGCAAATTCATAATAGTAGACGGTGTTCTTATAAAAAGCCCTTACAAAAAAATTAGAAAAATTCAAATAGCAGCTGCTAAGTGCTTTTTTATTGTCACCTGTCATCTCATCACACAAGTCATTTTTTGCCTTTAAGTAGTGAAAATAAGTAAGAATATGTGTGTTCTTAAGCTTTATTCAGTCATAAAAAAAGTTATAAAAATAAGCCAATGATAGCAGTGTAGTAAAACTTGAAGAGGGTGTCTTTAGGTGGTGCACTTACCATACTCAAATTTCCTGTGGGTTTTAAAAAAAAATTTTATAAGCATCACGAGAAAAGAGAAAAGAAATCACCTGGTTGACGTTGCTACTCACAGATAATACCACACATGCTTAAACCTGTTTTTGGCTGTTCTTCTAAAAAAACTTTAATGTTTTTGTTTTATGTGGTACCATTTGTAAGTGTAACATCAGCCTAGTGATCTGTTTTTCTTGAAGTTGTGCGTAAGAAATTAGGTTCTTCATCTTGACAATCTCTAAATCTACATTTAAAACAAAATAGCATGATATTAATGCACTGCCTAAAGCACCTTTGTGAAAAGTTTAATCTCACTGCGTTCACTGGCCTATTTATACAGCTTTTTTTAAGCCTGGATATTGCTCCAGTACACCCTGTGCTGTAAGATGCATCAGACGCATCCTGTGGACACTGTGTATTCATCGCCTAGACATTTTGTGGACATCCACACTAATGCTTATAACATGTCTATGTGATGTCCTTTGGATATTACGGAAACATCCTGTGGACGTGATGAGACCGTCTTGAGGACCTTATGTGGACGTACAGCTCGAGGCAATAGACACATCCTAAGGATATCTTATAGACATAAATTGAATGTTTTTAACATCCCCTGGACATTAATATCTTGCAGGGGATATTGACTGGATGTCCATTAGACGTAACATGGTTCTCTGGGTACTGACGACATTTCTCTGTTTGCATATTAATTGCAACAGTGCGCCTTTCACAGGCCACCATTTTATTTAACAACATAGCGTTTTTTTCAACCGCGAGAAGCAACACCTGGGCCGACTTGCTCGAACAAGAGTCTAAGTTGAGACTGGGTGAAAGAAGGCACAGCCAAGGCTAGCGCACGAGCTGAGCGGAACGCCGAGTCTAGATTCAAACGCTCGCGAGCCCCAGGCTTGGCAGGCTTTCTTTCACCCAGTCTCAGTTGAGACGTTTGACCGAGCAATCCCTGGTAACAGGAGAGGCAGAGAAAGGATAGGGGCGTCCTATCGGCTGTTGTGAAAAAGCAGAGCAGGGAAACAAGGGGGCGCAGATGGAAGGCAGGAGCAGTGCCAGTCTACTTTTCATAGGATGCAGGAACAGTGGCAGTCTACTTTCAATAAGATAATATATCCTATGAAAAGTAGACTGGCACTGTTCCAGCCTTCCATCTGCGCCCACTTGTTTACCTGCTCTGCTTTTTTGTCATTGATATTTTCCTGTAAACGAAATACTGCAGGTGGCTACAAATTTTTTATTGGCCATACATTTCTGTTTGCTTCTGTGCGAAAGCTGGGGCCTCGTGATGCTGGACCTGTTGCAGCTTTTGCTCCGCTAACACGTTTCTCATAGAAAAAAAGACAGTTGGTTCAAAGAATCCTACCCAAAGTAGCCAAGCAGATGGAACTAAGGGTGCCTCCCAAAGGACAACAACTGACTACTCAGAAAAACATTCAAAATATTGTGGCAGAATATTAATTTTTTTACCAGCAAGAAATTTCTTTGCTCCAGGTTCGCAGGAAACAAGTGCTGCATCCGAGATGTCCCAGGCCGCTCCAATCTCAGCGAGGGCGGCTTCCATAATATGAAGGAGGGGGTTGTCAACTATTTGCTGGCCATTGCCCCAAGTGTTATAAAGTTTCCAACAGGCTTGGACAGCCTTGCTTCAGACTTCGAAGAGGTATGCACACTTCTCTTTAAATCAAAACAGAAAAAAGGGCCACCTCTCAGAACAGTGCCGTGTTTATTTCTTCCCTTGAAATGTGATTCCGTAGACGGACTCTTCGAAAAGACCGGTTCGGTGCACGGTGAATGAAGACACAACTTGTTTCATCAATGTTAAACACCGACGACCAGTTTGCGCTCCACCTTCCCCCTCTCCCTCCTTCTAGCCTTTTGCTTCCCCTCGCTCGAAGACTTAAAGAGGCAGGGAAGCGTTGCGGAATCTCGAGTTTGGTCGTCCGCCTTTAAGCACTTTCTGGGTAATTCAGTGCCTTATTTCATGCGACATCCATATTTGACAAAAAAATCTAATGGGCAGCATTGTGCTGTCACTGCTTATACAAATAACCAAACAAAACAATGTCAGATATAGTTGGGCAAGTTAAGAACACAATATCTGCTTTGCTCACATGCATGTTGCACTTGCTTCGATAAAATAATGACTTTTTCTCCGTGACATTAACCACTGGCTTTAATGGGGGGAGGAAAGTTGGCCTCCGATTGAGTGAGATGATGTCGTGGAAAGGGGGGGTAAAATGCTGGCACGACTCCGGACTTGCTACCTTGCGTCGTTGAAGTGTACGGCAAGACGCAATTATAATCTCGTCCGTACACCTGTTCATCGCGGTTGTCTGGTACAAAGAGAGAGTCATTGCGACCAATCTCAACGACATGAGAAAGATGCAATGTTTCAAAGATTAATAGGAAGTGCATTGATAGTGTCACTTTAATCGAAATTTTAAATCCTTCTATAGAATTCCCCTTCCTGGCCAACGTCTTCAAATTAACGAATGCCAGCTCTGATTTAACTGCTCATGTTTTACTCATTGTGTTGGTTTGGAAGCCCAAACACCAGGGTTTAACCAGTCCTGGTATCACTGAGAAGTCCGACTCTCCATATTTAATGCCGTGGTCTGGTTTGTGTGTAGCAAGAGCCAAGCTCTTTCGGCTGCCCTTTTTTGTTGCTTCATGTCCGCAATTAGCAGCAGCACCAAGCTGCATGAGCTCTCCCCTCTGATATGATTCGGGGGTCATTCTACGCCCTCGAGGCTACATGATGTGAGGCAGCGGGAATTAAGAAAACGAGAACTCTGGAATTTCGGGAGAGATTTCCCACAAACTAAATCTAAAAAAAATATGCAGATGAACTTCTGTGAGGCAGCACGGCATTGACATCACCCAAACGTCACATGCAGTGTAGCACATTGATAAGGATGACTGCCGCATTCCATTGCTAAACGGACATTCATTGCAAAAAAACAGTCAGTGTCAGTATTTTGCGAGATAACTTGAATTAGTCAGGAGCCAGCAGCACAGAAACGAAGAGAAGCCACCGGCGGTGCCAACAGAGCTTGTCTTGGGAGATTCTGGAGGTCCAGTCTGCCCACCGTACTCATCTGATCAAGCTTATTAAGCACGCACTCAGGTGCGACGCACCTATTCGATTCTAAGTGGTATGATGTCCAACAGAAACAACCACAAAGCACAAAAGATGCTAGCCTCACAACGTTTAGTTAACTTACACAAAGGTGAGCAGCACATGAATAAAAGAGGAGCCATCGGCTCCTCTTTTATTTGTGGGAAACGAAACGTTTGATTAAATTGTTTATCTTGTTAGCCGGCGCAGTTTCCTTGATCATCGGCTCTTGAAGGTCGCTTGGTCTCACCGGCCATAACCTCCATGAACGAAACAATGTTAGATACTAGCTGCGCTTTGGAACTTATTATTACTTCAAGATGCCAGCGTGCGTCGCGCACAGCAGAAGAGGTTGCCTGCATGGCTCACCGCCATATTGAAAAACTTCCATTGTAAAGCCATGATTTCAGTAATGTCACGGAAAGTAAAAGAAGCGATTGACTGGCAGAGTGATATATATCCCTTTGGGGGCATTTTGATCCCCTGCATTTTTAACCTGTAACTCACTGTAGATGCCTGAACACTGACAACCAACCTATGCTGCCAAACAGAATTAATGTGGTTCCAGTATGTTGCACCATTTCCCCGTCGATCCAGAACCACAGAGTCCGTGACCCTTAGATATAATGAACCAGACTTTGTAATGTCAAAAAGCCTCATCTGCTCACAGTATTCTTGTGTGACTTGTGCCAGCCAATGCTTAGGCTGGGGCAGCAGCCAAAGTGCAAGTAGAGCACAGCTTATGCCTTAAACAAAGCCGTTTCATGTCACCTGTACCACTGGTTTAATCGATACATGTCTCTTTGGGGCATAATTGGCATGCAACACAAGGTGTCGAGAAAGTGCACTGCCCATATTGAAGCATCAAGAATGCACAGTCCAATCATCGCTGGAGCTTCTCTCTCACATTGTTTCTTTAGCATCAGTGCATTAGTGTGAATGGTTGAATGCTTGGATAATTTATAATATATGGAAAAGCGAACACATCATCGATGAGCCGCTTGCGCTGATATACGCCAGCTCTCAGTAGCTAGTTTTATATTCTCTGAAAAAAGTAAGGTGCAGTGAATGCCACGGTTTCAGTAATATTTTATTATGATAAACAAATTTAATGTGACCAAATCTTGAGTTTCTGGCAGACAGAGCGTCTGCCAGAAACTCAAGATTTGGTCACATTAAGCTTTGACTTGTGTCTATCACTTCACGTGATAGACACAAGTCAAAGAGGAACTAGGAGCTATGTAGATCAGCTGAAAAGGTGAAGCTGTTAGAAGACACAGCACTCCTCCTTTTGTTATTAAATATGTGCACCTTTTGTTTTTGTTTTCTGTTTTTTTTTTTTCAGTGTAAGTGTTGGTTCATAACAACTAGTGCTCTCTTATTTTTCC